AATGGAACACTGAAAATTAGTGGTTACACCAGGTGTATCATGCCTTACCCTACCAGTAGCACCCACCATTTACACAGTTTGTATTATATTAAGTGAGTGCGTGAGTTACGACTTTAAGCCGCATCGGCAGTAATTCAGGCACTGTCGAATTTTGTGACTAAAACAAGTTATACATTCATAATACATGAAGCTAAAATATAAAAAGCTGTCAACGAAGGAGAGTAAAAAACAACAAGATTACTACGGAAGTCAATACAATATTAAAACAGGCTATAGACTGCTAAGAACTGAAGGAAGATCGCCAAACAAGGGACCATGGGGATTTACAGTACTTTTGCTTCCTGCATCTACCCTGGCTGGAATTTCACCATCCATTCAGCTGTTATGAATTGTACACAAATCCAGCAAAATATATCTATCTACACAACATATTACTAACTTTTGAAAACAGTTCTATTTCTTTCATTAATCTAATTATCAAATGATAACTGACATGGTGACAAAATCCTTCACTCTTTTTACGTGTAGGATAAGGTACGAGGCCGAGGTCATGATTGGATAAGTAAGGACCTCAGCGCGAGGGAAGTGTAAAGACAGACCTCAAAGTCTTACTTATACACTTTCCTCGCGCTGATGTCCTAACATTTTCAGTCATGACCTAGGCCGAGTACTTTATCCAACATATAGACTGTCAAATCAATGAATTACATTTTCACGATAATAAAAAAACACCATTATAAATACCGCCGTTTGAAACGCTGCATTGTTTATACCGCGCTGGATGGTACATCAAGGAGCGTGGTCTAATTATAGAACGGTGCGCGTAAGACCGCACGTGCTGCACGGGATTTTCGTTACGCGGTATTTTATCACGTGGTATGATGGGACATTCATTTGAGGGAGCCACCTGATAACGGAAGGTTCGGACAACGAGAGGGAGTTATTTATTACACTGTCTGAAACAGGTGAAAAGATTGATAAATGGAGTGAAAGTCACGTTTTGTTTCGTTTCAAGGAGCCATTGAACGAGAAAGAGCTAAATGACAAAATTAAAAAGAGAATTAACATGAAGTATAAACTTGACTGGGATCTACGGGTGTTCAAGAGATGGCAGGACGAGAGCCGAAACAGGAGCAATAATTGTAATTCGGACGTTCCAAGTGAGTGCCTAAAAAGTGAACTGAACGCAATGAGTGGGGGTAATACTTCCGCCCGTATCCCCCCCTAAATAATCTGTAGGTGCCAAAACAAATATATATCCAAGAAGTTATCAAAGGTCTTGAAGCCATAAAAGTTGTTTGTGAAGGACACGGTGCATACACTTTTTTTAGTACCTGGATACGAACTCGCCTTATCCACCCATTTCATGTCGGCAGTCATTAAACTGAAAATGGCGGATGTGACGTCATAACTTAAAATGCTAGTACTTTGAAAACTAATGATACTCAGTAAAATAAATTTAACTTGTGACGAATCGAAGTAAAATAACTGGTACTTACCTACAAAGGGTATAGTCGGGCAATCGAATTTAAAAGATGCTCGGAAGCTGGATTGTCCGCAACGACACAGGTGCGCCAAATGTACTCTGATAGGTGCAGGCCAAAATGTCGTCTAGTAGAGTGCGTGCTGGGGAGTTGGCGTTTCACGCACCACCACCTGTTTTCAATTAAGTTAGTGCACGCCTTAGTGCTTGGATCTGTAGGAAATACACAATCACATATTTTACAACATGTATGCAAACTGTGTGATATTTTTTAACATCAATAATTGAATTAACGCAAATAATGAAATGATAAGGGCAATTATAATAATACTCATAGATATTTACCCACAAAATTTGATGAATGGTTTACAGTCAAATGTTCGTATCCTAAGTCTTTGATCCCTCTGTAAGCGGCCCACTCATCGGAAATTATTGTGGTACCGGGAAGAACATTCTCTTGTATGATGGGTAGTAGAGTTGATGCGTCCCGTTTCTTAACGGGTACAAGGAAAACTTGGTGGCTTTCTCTGCAGATTCCTCCGAATACCCACGTTCCGTCTACTACACGACCCGATGGTATTTACGTTTACCAAATATTGCTTCGTCTATCTCGACAGTTGTCCCAGGCCCCCCTATTCGTGTATATCCACCAAGCTGAATATCCTCAACACAAACCTCACGGATATAGTTGAAATAATCACTAATGGTTTCTGTTGAAGTTGTCTTACTACATTCTTCTATCTCGTGGGGAATGGAGGTCTCTTTGGCAGTATGTTCGTACGAAAGTTTTTTGTGCAAAGCAAAAAATGAGAAGGAGTGATTTTCGCAAAGAAATATTGCTTCCTTCAAACCATGTGTTTTTTCGCAGGGGAATAGTGTTTTTTATTGGATTTCGTACATTTCTTTTTGTTGCATTGAAATCTGTATTGGGTGAACCGGTGTTGTTTCGACTTCCAACTTTGGATGTTCGTGATTTCTCCCTTGCAATTTCTGCAGGTACTCTTCTTGGGTAGTAATTTCAATTCCTGACAGAATTTTCGGGCTGATTGCTCAGTAGAAATCTTACACGATAATGTGAAAATATTCAATCCCACTGTTTGTTTTCCTACTGGGTCCAGGGGTGGGCGTGGGACTGTCAGGGTGAACTAAATTATCGTTAGCGTCAAGATGAGGGAATAATGAGGCACTTTCATCATTCACACTCTCAATGTTGTCCGGTAAGTCACTGTCCGATTGGGAATCGAAAAGGTAATCCAGGGGGGATGGTGAGGAGGAACTGTGGTCGGGAACCGTCACTTTCACTTGGTTGGGAGATATATAACAATCCTATTAATCAGAAACATCCAGCCTTCTTTTAGACACTGCTACTGGGACTGGCAAACAAAGCAATTCTTTCAAATTTATAAACCGTTATTCTCGTAAAAAAGCGTGCACAAATGTATGAAGCATGAAATGTACCAGCAACGCGGTCCATGAAGGACATGCAATAACTTTTCAAACATGTGAGTGCAAAACATGTGAGTGCATATAAATTACGTTGTAAGGAAATCAGTATATACTCAGTACCGGAAGCGGAAATAATAGTGAAAAATGAGGGCTGTGGGTGCGGTTTAAGGGAAGATGCAGGTTAGTGAGGGAAAAGTTTTATTAGTTCCATCCAGACCCCCAACTTTTTTACTTTTACCCCCAAACTTCTTAACCCCCATTAAGCTTTATACCCCCAAAAAAAAAAAAAATTAAAAAAAAAGAAGATAGCGCCCCTTTTTAATTTTTTAGAATGAAAACCTACTATTGCATAAAGAAATTTGAAGGGGGGATACGGGCGGAAGTCTTTCCACGAGTGGCTGTTCCTCTCTTTGCACTCCTCCCTCGTAACAAATAGTGAACTGTGTCAAAACTTTAATGACAGTTTGTTAAACAATTTTTTTTATTTTTAGGACGTATATTCTGCAAAACAATCACAGAGTTAGTCTGATGTTTCGATTATGATCAGTGTTTCATTGAGAATTATATGTTTAGTAGTTTTCGAGTTAGATTGCAATTCATCGGTCCGATTTTGAGCCAAACGGACTATAACAATAACAGTTGTTAATTTAAACTAATAATCATAAAATATTGAACTATTTACACAATTAACTAATCAAAATTGATCAAAACTTATGTGACAATTCCCTTGCTGATACAAAGTCAATAACATGTATATACAACAAGTTGTTGTGTATATATATGTTAGCGTCAATAAGGAAACTCCGTCAGTAGTGTTACTACCTAGTCAATAAGAGAACTGATGCCTAATGTTAGTCAGTAAGCTTACTGACTGAGTCAATAAGGATACTGCCTGAAATTTATAGTAGGCAGTAGCGTTACTCCCTAATACAGAAATCAATAGGAATACACATTAAAAAGTTGACATTTATTGTCTAATCTCATATACACAGAAGAGTAAATTGATTGATTACATATTCATATTACATAAAAACCTGAAGACATGATAAATGTCGATTATTTATTAGAGCATGAACTGGCATTATGACAACGACTTGTGCAATTTCTCCCACTTCGTTTGCACTTACAGCTCAAAGTTACACACTTTGCACTTGATGTACAATTGCATTTCTGCATGCCCTGACCTCCAAACAATTACTCTTTCCTCACAGCTTCTCTTGGTGTAATAGCACTCACAGTTGACACATCAGATTCACTAAGAAGCCGTTGTTTGGCAATACCAAACTGGTTTGTCTCGTATCGTCCTTCCAACTGACCATGTCCAGTGGCGATACTACATGCATCGTCATCGTTCACGTCTAGAATGTACCCAATCAAGTTTCTCATGTGCCCCTTGCCTCGATCGAACTCTGGAATGTTAATGTACACTGTATCTCCAGCTTGTGGTAACCCTAAAAGTAACTTGCTGCGCGTGCTTTGCCATTTGTCCAGCCTGTTTTGACATCGCATTTCTAACTCTACTTCTTGTTTCAACCTGCCTCTTGGATGACCGACGTACTCGACACACATTAGAACTTGCCAAAACTGGCAGAGAACTTCCACATTCCACCAATAATTTGTTATCAATATCAGTATCACAATCTGTAGCGGTATCATAATCTGTACCCGTATCTGTATCAGCATCCACACCAGCATCACCATCTGTGGCTGCGTCAACAACAGCTGACACTGAACAGGATTCACTGCCTGTATCTAAAGCCATCTGCAAGTCTTTTTCTGTCTCAAGTTACCTCAGAACTTCTGTTGGTATGGAAGCTTCTGATGAAAGACCAGCTGTTGCAGACTTGCCAAACAAGGCTTCATATGGTGTTCTACCAATTCCTCTGTTCAATGAAGAATTCTTTTGAAGCTGTACAATGTGTAGCCCTGCAGTTTTACAAGCTTGATTACCCAAGCTGGCTTGCTCACTCAGCTGCTGGCAATCACCAGCCGACTCATCATGAGTGAGTAGTGATTCACATATCAATTAACCTGTGCGCTGTGCATTGTCACATTGAATGTCGGTACTAACTTTTAACCTTTTTTTCCCCATTGTACTTCACTCTTATACTTTCAATGGAGAAATAAAGAAATATCTATTTCAATCAAAATATTTTTGAAATGTTGCAGTCAGTAACACTACTGACTTAGGCAATAAGCGGGAAAATGAAAATATAATTCAGTCAGTAAACTTACTGTCTAGTCGTTTTAGTCAGTAACGCTACTGGCTAGGCAGTACCTTATTGACTAGGCAGTAACGCTACTGATGGAGTTTCCTTATTGACGCTAACATATACCATATATAATTATCTAAAACTGAGTAGATATATACAGTGCCTGGCAAACTATTTACATCTGGCTGTCTGGTTGCAGCATTATTGGCCGGGTGCATCATCTGAAATAAAAAGCACATGATATGTAAGTCAAGAGTAATGAGCATCAGTATCATATAACATTAATGATACAATGGTGATACGTTTAGGAAGCCAAAGTTTATTAGTTAGGCAAACAACAAAATACATCCTGGCGGAAATGAGAAGGGGAAAAAGACAGTGAAAAATATCACACCGGCAAGGTGTCAACCAGCTACATAGCCAACGCCAAGGCAAGGGCCATCTGTTTAAGTGGCCTCAAACGAACAATCACGAAGAAGGTAATAACCCAGTTCTTTTCAATTGCATGAAATAATAACATTGACTATAATAAGGGGACATGGGTAGGATGTGACACCCGAATTCCTTTCTGTTGTATAGAGTAAACATAGAACTTGATAAAATATTGTTTTTGTTATTTTGAAATACATGTACTTACCAAATCAAGTGTGTCGAAGTTTCGACAGATCCGTTGCCAGTGGTGAGGCGTTGGAAGACCAGGGGGCATCCACATGTGGATCCTTCTGTTCTTGGCCTCAAGGATGAAGTATCCTCCTTCTCCGCGATCTGCTCCACTGGCGAAGTAGGACAGGTTGTCCTTGAGGAAGGTGTACGTGACGGCAGGGCAAGAACGCAGGGTGTGGTGATATCGAAAGGGACAGCTATTGGAACTGGGTCATATTAAGGCCAAAGAACCAGTCTGAGAACCTACTGAAGTGCAAGAGAGTGGTTGCCCCTTCCTATGTCACAAGGGAACAGAAACAATGCCATGGCATATGTGAAGATGACATCGGCCAGTTCTTGTAGGTTCTGTTGGACAACCACTCCCCGAAACCATCAACATCAGAGCGGATTCCAGAGCGCTGACATTCCCCTACATATGGGACTATGAGCTCAGCTCCTGTTTCCCAAAACAGCACTTCATTCGTCTGACTGTGTTCCCTCAGCACATGTCCTTTGAACTCCTCACACCCAGAGATATCCCTTCGATCACACAGTGGACAAGTGTACGCATTTGAAATGATTCATGATGCCAAATTAAAAGGCAACCCAAGACCGAGTTACGCCAATCCCAGAGTCCTGTACGATTCTATTCAGAACAACATTCATGGCAGCATAGGAACGTGGGTTAACCAGGACTGGCTCACCCACAACAAGATCTGCAGCAATAAGACTACCAGCTTCCACAAGGGAGTACCTGTGAGCTATGCTGTCGCCTGTTATGATCCTGATCTTAGTGGAGGTCTCATCAAACACTGCCCTGTATGATGCCTCCGTTCCTGCTGACGTGGACTCTGGCAGTTGGTGCTGATCATAGTCATCACGACAACCGGAAGTGGAACACTTTTGCTCACTCAGTACAGACTCAGTCTTGTGACTGATGACATGGGCTCTCGGTAATGTCGAAACAGTGACAGACCACAGCTCAGAAATGATGGCAAAGTGGCTGTGAGATGTTGTACATAAAATCTGAGCCAGCCAGACGGATTGTACTGTTCCTGAGTCTGTAACGAGTGCTCATCCCCAGGGAAAATGTGCAGTAGTGTTGTGATGACGCTGACCATGGTCTTGGCATTGTAGCGGATGCGCCAGTTACGTGCCAGGAATTGGTTGTTGTCAAAGAAAGTGACAATGTCGCCTTGACCAGACACTTTGACAGGCACTTCATTCTGATTCTCTATCCATTTCAGTATGCTGTGATAGGAAGCAGCAGGTCGTGATGTCGATATTGCATTGCATGCTCTTTTGCTACCTGTGATGTAGTATACAATGAGATTGTTAGCAAAAAGATAACGGGGCAATGAGGTTACCATTTTGACAATAATACAGCTGTTATTTTTGCTGGTGTTACCAAACGAAAGGTCAATTTGGCACAGCGTAGTGAGAAAGGCAATCAGCACTGGATTGACATGCTGAAGCCATAAGGAAGCCTCATATGTTTGCAACAGGTTGGCATCTTGATAGTCCTGGCAAACGTTTTGACTATGGTCAAGTACATCTTGTGAAATGCGTTCCCCTATAGCTTCAGCAATCAATTTTACGTCTGCAATGCAATAGACCCCATTTCTGATTGCTGCAGCAATGTCTGTGGCAGATGTATTTGCAGAGGACTGCTGTTCAAATTTCTCTGCACAAGCTGTACACAGATATTGGTGTTTAATGGATAGGTATCCAGCAGCAATGAGGCCGTCGACTGTACCTTTCTTAATTTTACGCCATGACAACTTGAGCACTTTAAATGGTTTCTCTGTTGACCAACTGTCATGTTGGTTACAACCAAAGCTCATGTTGATATGTCCTGTTTGCCTCTGAGTGTCTATCAATGTATCACACAATGGCTTTATCACAAGCACGGTGTATCACACAAAAGGATTATCACGGTATAGCTTTATCACGGTATAGCTTTATCACAGATTGTCTTATCACAGTTTGTACCAGTTGTTGCTACAAACAAGTAATTTATAATTTAATAACAATATCTACAATTGTACGTCTATCACAGTTGAATGTATCACAATCAATTGAAACAATTGCTCTGACCTCGTGGCCACGGGTGAATCACAGTTATTATGTTCTATCACAGGTGACGGTGCAGATTTAATTAATGTATAATTACAAATTGTTGGCCGACACAAGGTCTACAATCTGTCTGTTATCACAGCTATTCTGCACCTATATACACGCTAAATGCCTATCACAGACTTACCTTTTCAGTACCATGATATTTATTACACAGGTATATATATGAGTAAGCAGTATCAACAGCAAGGAATAAATGCAAATTCAATCAATTACATGAATTACATTCTGGTCATAACAGAGTGTATTTACCTCACCGTTCATACACGGCATTGACAATACGAAGTGACCACGTGTTTGGACAATGCAATGTCTTTATAACGCCTTCACACCACGGACAACCAATCCTGGGTATGGTTGCATCGGGCTGTGGGATTGTGACCAATGACAACCATTGATGCATAGTTGCAATGAACAAACACCAAACAACAACAAAATCCACAAACATTTTCTATAACACACACAGCACAGACAGCAAATAACAACACATTCGCTCAAACACACAGTGTGACCATTTGTATTGCAAACTACACACTAGGCTTGCATAGTTTTTTTGTTTATTCGTGTAACGGTAGTGCAAAACCAAAAATAAACTCCCAACGAGTACTATTTCAAAACCGGAAGTCATGCGCATGCAATCGTCAAGTTCAGCCGTTCGCGAGGTGGGCCTCCAAGTTTCGGGGTATATTTTCTGTTTTTCGGTGTGTTATTTTGTCTCCCAAGTGTAAATGTCCATAGGGCTAGGTAGTTTAGCAGCTCATATATCACAAACGCTCGGGTTTGTGGTGCAAGTAGCTTCAAATATGGGTTAGACGATTCCAGTCGTATGTAGCAATGCCATGTAGCAATTTACATCAATATCACCCTCATATGATGCAAATGAGAAAACGGACCAAACAATTTTATCACCTGCCCAATAGGCTGTGAGAAATGACACAACGATGGATGACATGTACGTAATAAGAATAACGCAGTCTCAGAACAATTTAAACATGTGTAAATCAATATGGCTATGAAGGATGGGTGAATGAAAATACACCTTGCTGCGTACATAATAAGCATTTAGTACAAACGATTTAAAAATAGGTGTTTATTCACCTCCATTTATGTGACAATTTTATCAATCTCCGGGGCAAACTGCGCTCTGCTCTTGTTAATCGGCTTGTTGGCTTCCACCCTCACAGCTGCGGTGATGATGACCTTTGGCAGTGCCAAAACGGTGCAACCAGCATGTCTCTTTTCACTGCAATAAATATAATGTACACTATACTAATGTGAACAATGATATATATCATCTACCACAAACAATGGTACTGTATGCAAGATACTTACATGTACAACTGCCTGTTCTCATAACAATGCTGTCGACATCGTACTAGATGGACATCCAACAAGTCCCCAAGATGGAGCCCTCTGTGAGGTTGGATCTCCATTGGTTGTTGGAAGTGGCCAACACGTCTGATCCAACGACGCCATCCCAGAATTTCGCACTGTAATGATTCTTCATTAACAGTGGAAAACTTGCAGGCGTCGTGGTCGGTGCCCAGTGCGGACTTGAGCATCTGCAGTACATGGAACATGATTACTCATAAGTCCTGGCCCACCAATAACATCAGTTCCATGCACATGATGAATGTTTTGCAGGCAAAAAGAGATACACATCACCACCGGGGTCCGGATCACCCTCACCATTGAGCCTGAGATGGGTGGGGACGGCCAATCATTCATATCACATCCAGACAATCAGGTGGGGTTGACATGTATATTTATATGTGTAACATATGCATGACACATAAATGGAATGAAATTGTGATTGTACAAATGTTCCCAATGAGGTATGAAATTCATACCAACAAATTGACGTATATCAATTCATTGTTATGTGGCTACCTGCTATTAAGTTCATTCATTACTGGAATTAAGTATATAAAGAAATATGAGTTAATGTTTGCCCATAAATACCATAATCATTGATTGAATTGCAACATAATTCAAATGAAAGTACACCTATCCATATTCCTATCACCTGAATGTTTGACAACATCCTGATTCAAGGTGAGGTAAGTAACCCAAAATTATGACACATATATCCTCTTATGCTTTTAATGCTACATTAAATCGGGAGAAGTAAATCCGTCATTATTTTCCCCAGGCAAATTTTAACATGTCATAAAATAATTGTCCCATTATGATAACTATCGTCAAATACGCACTAAATTCACCACCACACTGAAACATTAAAATTATGATTTTCCATCACCAATGAACAATAATGCACAAGTACTTATGCTCCATAGGAAGGAATATTGGCACATATAAACAAATTGTACTATAATCATTACTTCCTACATTATATTCTATTTCCGTGTTAAGTGTTCTCGTCACGATATGGCTGAAATATTGCCGATGTGACCTTAAATAATAACTCACTCACTCACTCACTTTCCTACATCGACAACTGTCGCACGCGGTGTTGTCGATGTTTGCCGAACTGGTTTTCAATAACAAATTATGATAGGATATCCGTAAAGAGCGCTGGAAGGGACAGAACTCTATGGGATTCGCCTTTAACTAATAATTGTCTGCTATGACACTCTACATCAGTATTAATGCTAGCTTGTATGAAGAAAGTTTAAGTTTCTGAGAGACTCATTGAATATACATACCTATCACATTTGATAGCAATGGTATGGCAGCAGCCTTGGGTGACTGATCGTTATCATTATTGACATATATGCATTAATTATGATAAAGTGATTTTACATTTGGTTTTGTTATACCTTCAGATATCACACACGGATGCCCCAACATTGAGGAGGTTATCATTCCTCCACCTATCCACATGGTGAAGTCAGAGACAAAAGCAACACAA